GACCTCCCGTGAGTCACTGAGTGCTCCAACGCTGGACCTCCCGTGAGTCACTGAGTGCTCCAACGCTGGACCTCCCGTGAGTCACTGAGTGCTCCGACGTGGACCTCTCGTGAGTCACTGAGTGCTCCGACGTGGACCTCTCGTGAGTCACTGAGTGCTCTGGTGAGCCAGCGCTGTCCGTGGGATCATCTTCAGTTTGTAGGCAGGACAGTGAGGCTGATGCAGCTGCTGTGGGCAGGACAGCAAAGGATCTCCCCTAATAAGAAAGACCAAAGTCGGCAATATTCTAAACCCCAGGTCAAAAGAAATCTGTGGCTAAGAAGTGTTCAAATCCCCCATCTCTAAGCCTTGATCACAGATCCTCTTGTTGATACAGGCTAAGCTCTAACAGTTTTTTTCTGTATTATTTGCACTGGGGGAAGTTCAGATGTAAAGCATTACTTCATGGAAAGTACAGTACGGTTTTTTAAGTCTTAAGAAGAAATGATTTGTCAGTTCAGAGAGACACCCCTTCTCAACAGATCTTTAATTTAAAAGCAAGAACAGGTGCACTGCATTTGGAAATGTGTGGATTTTGTCCTGCTATGAATTATCCTTACGAGTTATTTTTGATGCTGAAAGTGTTCCCAGGTAGCAGAGTCCTTACAGTAGGTTTTCCGAGGGAGCTGGTCACGTGTCACTTCTCAGACAAACCTGAGAAGCCTTCCATACCCCCAGGACAGAGCAGAGAGCAGACTGAAGGGGAGAGACCACAGGGCTGCTTCTCCTTTTTAGCATACACCCCCAGCAGGAGGGGGACAGGGACAGCAGCAGCATTGGCCCGTGACCCATTCTCAGCACTGCCAGAGAAGGCACCAGAGGTTCCCAGTGTGGGTGACACTCCCAGATGGCAGGTGACTCTGTCCAGATCCCACCTTCCTCCCCATACCCCCAGGGGATGCTCTAGAATGTCACTGCTGCAGATGGTTCCCTAAACTGCCCTCAGCTCAGCACCCTCATCAGAACGGGGCAGTTACAGGGGCTCAGTGTGACAGTGAACCTTCTGGGTCACAGGGTGGCCCAGTCGATGTCAGTTTCTCCTGATCACCCATGGACAAGCCACACAGAGAACAGAGGAGCTACTGTGGGAGGAGCCCACAGGCTCTCCGGTCTGCAGTCCTCCGGGTTCAAGGCCTGCTCCTGTGACTCTGAGCCTGCTGGGATTCTGGGTCCCACCCTCCTCACGTGGGACACGTGCCACTGTTGACACTGCCTGTTAGGACGACTCACAGTTAGAGAAGCTGCTGAGCACCCACAGCTCTCAGGCAGAGGGCGAGGGGTTAGCGGGGAAGCTGGGCAGCCCTGCCCATGCTCCCCATGTGGGGCTGTCAGCGTGTGGAGCGGCACTCACATCAGAGGGGCCCAGAGCTCTAGGTCCTCCTCCTCCCTTCCTCATCTACCCCTCAGGTGGCTTTGAGCAAGTCATGGACCCCAGCCCTGTTGTCCTATTGAGAAAATAAAACGCTGAATTAATTGTTGGCGTATAGATTCCCCTCCAGCTCGGTGGTGCCGTAATGACACTCCGTTTCACCCCAGCTGGGAGTGACCGATTACACACACTATTTGCAAACTTTATGTTACTTTTAAAATTTTAAATCAGACTCTACTGTTTTCCGTTGCTTCAGGAGACTACGTGCCCAGCTGGCTAAAATACCAGACACCTATTCTCCTATTGGCTCCTGATTTTTTTCTTCCATGAACCCTGCACAACCTCCTAGGCTGGTTTTCCTGTATGATTAAGGAGACTGAGAAAGAACAACCTTTATCCCCAAACTCGAGCTTGACATTTCTTATAAGTACAGCCCACAGGATACCTTACGCACTTGTCCATCTAATCCCATCCCATGCCTCCCTTTTCTCTAACATTTTCAATGCTAAAATATGAGAGATGGAGGGGATAGTGCAAGGTCGGAGTCCAGGCCCTTCATGCCCCTCTGAGAATCTTCATAACCTTCACAGTCTATTGACTAGGTGTCTGTGGTCAGCAGTCACTATGGATCCAAGAGAACAATTCTCCCCTCCTTTCAGCACCTTTCCGCCCTTTTTTCTCCTTTTTTCAGATTGATGAGACTTCTGGTTTATCCATGAGAGGGAGGTGATAAAGGCTTGCTCACGAGATTTTTTCCCCCTATTAGGTCTCTGTTTCCTTGGTCATGAGACTAGAACTGAAGCTTCCTGGGTCCCTGTCGAGAACAAAGAGCTTTATGAGCTCAGTTAACTCTTGGGGGTGCCTTAGGATGGGGGGACATGGGTGAGAGTGGAGGTAACAGTCCTACTCAGGACCTACCAGGGAGCCCAGCAGGGAAGGGCAGAGGGACAGCCGACTGAGGGTGCCCTTCCCGAGCCAGCTTTTGTATGTTTATTCACATTAGGAGGGAATGGCACACTGTAGAAAGCACTGGCTGATTCTAACCCATAAAGCTCTGATGGACACCGGAAATGCCGACTTTGGGGAAGGGTTGAATGTTCCCCCACAAAGACCCCCAGCCACCTGACATCCACCTGCTGCCCTGGCCACTCCTGGGGCGTGAGGGTCCTTAGAATGGACCTGCGTTAATCACTTCCGGAAACAAATATAAAAAGCTGGATGTTCACAGGTGCATTAACAGTAAGGAACGCAGCTGATGGGCCAGCCAGAAGGCTTGGGTCAGCCAGAAGGCTTGGGCCAGCCAGAAGGCTTGGGTCAGCAGACTGGAGCAGCTTCTCCCCGCATGCTGAGTATTTCAGAAGCCAAACTGTAAGCAGAAAGCCAATTTATTCACTTAAAGTGAAAAATACAAATTGTAAATGAACCAGATGTTCATATTAGCCCCAGCCTTTCCTGACAGATACCCTACATAGGAAACCAAATGATTAGAACGGAGCTTGGTGAGCAGGGAACCAGAGCAAGTAGCACTTGCTGATTCAGGTGTGTCTAGTAAAGGCAGCTGTGAGCCCCGCTCCCCATTCAAGGGATGGCCTTGCCAAGAAAACTGTAGGCTTAAATCCGTGAGCCAAGTCGCCTTCCCCGGCATAAGACGTGCATGGTCACTGCCCACACTGGACTCGATAGCTCTCCACCTTCTGTGCTGCTGACTCCTGCAGTCCTTGTCGTAACAGGGTTACAAGATGAATAATTAGTTCTCCACTTACTTTCTGGGATGGCTCCCAAATGATCTGAACTGGAATTTTTGCAGTTCCAAAGTTGTTAGTGACACATTATGAGCAGTGTCTAGTTTCCCAGCACAGATGGCTAATTTGATTCACTGAGTGAAGATTTTGCTGGCTTAGCTCTTAAAAACGAAGCTTTGATGTCATGAGCAACATTGCACTTTCTGTATAAAAAGTTGTATGTGTGAGTTTCACAGATTTAGAAATGAAGGGGGGCTGAGGGCCTTGTCCTGGATCTGTGGGATGGGAAGAGCTGGAACTCAAATCCAGATCTCCCGAGTTCAGATTCCACGCTTGTTCTGTGGGATGCAATCAAGCTGTCTACTATTAATAAGTTTCACTTTGAAACAAAAAAGGAAAATCAGTGTGTTTTTGAGAAATACCTTTTGAAATCGTTAGCTGATATTCCCCCCTAGATGGCAAGGGGTAGCAGAGAACAGTGGAGTAAGTGGGAAGGCCACTCAGACCAGCTGCCTGCAGCAGGGGCCACGAGATCCCAGCACGGAGCAGCCAGTGACCTTGTCAGAGAGTAAACAGCAAATGAATGTGTTTCGTTGCAGAATCTGAGCATCTCGGAGGCAAGAGGAAAAATCCTCTACTATCGAGTGACCTTGCAGGAGGTGACAGGGTGGAGAGCCCCGTTGCAGAACGTCACGGGGCACACTTCGTGGACCTGGGTCATTCCTACAACTGGGAACTGGGCTGCAGCTGTGTCTGCAGCAAATTCCAAAGGCAGTTCCCCACCCACTCGTATCAACGTAGGAAACCTGTGTGGGGCGGGTAAGTGCCAACTTTTCTCTAACATTGCCTGTGGGAGCCGAGTCTTACCTATCTCTTATCTCCCAGGCCCAGCCCAGGGACCAAAATGAGCGGCCAGGAGGTTAGGCTTGGAGGCAACAGCTCTGAGAGTCTGCCTTTTGCCAATAGCCCAAATAGCCCGTGGGTGGCCTCCAACAAGTGCGTGAACTTCTGAGCTTCAGTGTCCTTCTCTCTAAAACAGAAGTTGTATGACCAGTCTTGTAGGTCGTGAAATTAAATAAACAAACAGGTACTTAATAAACATTAGTTAAGAAAATATTAGTTACATTAAATTGTACACTAATTCCCGGCTAATTTTTATAGACCCAAGAATAATGTGTGTTGTTAACTTGTAAAAGAAACATTTTGTATCTACAGTCAAAACGTATTTTAAAACAAAAGCAGGACATGGTGGTTCACCTGCAGTCCCAGCTACTCAACAGAATCACTTGAGCCCAGGAGTTCAAGGCCAGATTAGACAACATAGGGAGACTTCATCACTAAATACATTTTAGAAACCAATAATATTAAACTGAAATTCTGTGACAAAACCACAGCAAAATTTGACTTTATTGCAACTCTTTATTACACAAATTTAATATGAGCTCAATTCCCTTCATCAGGAGATACTCAGCTAGATGTAAAGTCTCACATCTTTATAGTCATAGCCTCTGAAAATTATAAAAGCTCATGATTAGCCAAGAAAATGGATATTAAGGCTGTTTCTCAAAATCTGTGTTATTAAAGAATTCTGTGTCAACATCGTTGACCTAACTTTAAGAAAATGTCTAAAATTATACAATAAAACTCTATAATTAGGTCCTTCCTTAAAATTCAGTGTACCAATTTTATCTTCGTATGGGTCTAGCAGTTGTCATTTTGAAAAAGTCTCAACCAAACACAACTATTTCATATACACTGTTAATCTTGGTTATATATCATTTTAGTCATTAATATAAAGATAAGGTAGTAGATAAAATACTTAGAAGAAAATGCAGGGAAACATTGATGTAGCCTTGGCTTGGTGTTTGAGTTAGGAATGGCTCACAGGAGTTCGGGTTCCTCTTACCAAAGACCCAGCTGCAGTGACTTATTTATTCTGTCACTCGAGAGAGGGCGGCCTGCACAGGGCTGGTGCTGCAGCTCATTGACGCCACTGGGACTTCAGACTCTTTTTTATCTGCTCCCTATGCCAAACTTGGCTCTCATCTGCAGGATGGGAAAGGTCTGAACGGTCTGCGGGAGCTCCACCTGCTTCCTGTAGGCAGCAAAAAGAAGAGCTCTGCCCACAACAGCACTCGCGCTCATTGGCCCCGGCCCCCGTCCCACTCACACCCAGCTGCAGGCAGGCTTAGAAATACAGTAGAACTTCTGTAAGCTGACCACCCAGGGGACTGTAACAAACTGGTCAACATAAGAAACTAGGCCTACTGCACTGGCATGTGGCATATGTCGAGTCTATGAAAGTTAGGTCAACTTAAGGAAGGGATCAGTGTAGGGAGGTGGTCAATGCAGGGAGGCAGCCAGTGTGGGGAGGTGGTCAGGGTACGGAGTTTGTCAGTGTAGGGAGGTGGCCGCTGTAGGGAGGTGGTCAGTCAGGGAAGTGGTCAGTGCAGGGAGGTGGCCAGTGTGGGGAGGTGACCAGGGTGCGGAGTTGGTCAGTGTAGGGAGGTGACCAGTGCAGGGAGGTGGTCAGTGCAGGGAGGTGGCCAGTTCAGGGAGGTGGTCAGTGTAGGGAGTTGGCCACTGTAGGGAGGTGGTCAGTGCAGGGAGGCAGCCAGTGTGGGGAGGTGGTCAAGGTGCGGAGTTGGTCAGTGTAGGGAGGTGGCCACTGTAAGGAGTTGGTCAGTGTAGGGAGGTGGTCAGTGCAGGGAGGTGGCCAGTGCAGGGAGGTGGTCAGCTGTGGAGGTTCTACTGTTTATTTCAGGCAGTGGTGTTCCCTAGCTGAAGAAGATGAGGGCAAGGTGTTTGACATGCAAGCAGTAACCACATGGGGAAGGTACCTAAGGCAGCACCTTGAAGAAAAATTAGATTAACTATAGAAAAAAAAAA